GTAATTTTTGTAGGGTAGCTTCATTCCTTCTACCAAGTATTGGACTATTCCTGATGCATGTAGGTGACCCCTTATGCACGTGCCACGTGCAAAAAGAAGAGGTGTCCGTTTTGTAATTGTTGCAATATCTCGGTAACTACTTGGCCGATTGCGCTGAAAGTTGGCATGTAGGTAGGCACCCACTTGGCACTGCATATCCATGTGCCAGAGTTGGGGTGCTGCTGCGCGTGCGCACGTGCAGGGGTCGTTTCCAGATCTCGAGAACGGCTCGACCGATTGCGCTCAAATTTGGTACACAGTTAGGGACCGGTTAGTAGGGTGCCGTGCACAAGTTAGTTGGGACCCATTTTGCACGTGCGCACGTGCAGGGTGCCGCTTCCAGATCTCGAGAACGGCTGGGCCGATTGTGCCCAAATTTAGCACGTCGCTAGAGACCGGTTAGTAGGATGCCGTGCACAAGTCAGTTGGAGGTACCCCCTCGCAATTTCGCACGTGCAAGGCCCACCCTCTCGCTCGCTCCGTTAGTCGCCCCAAAAGGCGTTATACTGGTGAGGTACCTCATCGAAACGCATCGACTGATATGCGACATGATCTATCTTAGTCACGAAATGACCTTAATGTGAGGTCAAGTTCTGACCTTGACATTTCGAGGTAAAAATGAGAGAAGAACGATCGTGCAAACAAAAATTCTCTACCTTTTTTTAGTTCAAAAGCTTTTCATGAAACCTATATTGACAAAAATTGTATTTTTACCCGTTTTTGGCTATGGAGCCTTAACCGTTGATCTGAACTCAATTCTGACGAAATATTGACGAAAGAGCTGTTCAAGATATATCGATTGCTTTTCTCCTATCGATTGCGCCCTCCTAGCTATCATAGTTTTTGGGATACCGGCACGTTTTCCGAAAAAAAATATCGCATCATTGCGAAGTTTGACATTTGATGGCATACGGTCAGATCAGGGCCGTCATGGCCGTCTGGCCATAGGAGGATATAGAGGGGGCTACCGGGCCATGCTCCCCCCCCCCCAAAGCGCCCAGAAATGGCACAAAATCGACACATTTCTGGGCATAATAATTAAACAAAGGAACTTCCATTGGGCAAAGTTTGGGTTATATTACATGATAGGCAGTAAGGAAGCGAAATCCGAAGCATCCAAAGCATCCGTTCATCCAAAGCGTTAATCTATGATGGATTTTTATGTAGCTTTAAAATCCGATGATTTCTTGTCACAACGTAGGTGGGTACTGTTTGACCTTACGTCATCTAATTATTTCAAACACATAGTATCTTCAATGCAAATTGGCAATGTTTCACACGTCAACCTCTATTTTGAATCGATTGATAAGGGTGAAAAACGCATGAAGAGACGTATGTATCACATTTTAATCATGTGCTTGTGCATATCATTTTTATTCTCTAAGCATAGGTACAATTTGGTGCGTCAAGGGAGGTCAAACACGCCCAACGCCGTTCAGGAAAACGAGTGACTAACAACAATGTAAATGTCATTAAATCGCCGGTCCGCCCTTTGAATGCGGATAAAGAACGCACTACGACTGGGCGAATTTCGAGACTGGCCAAAAGCAATCACAGCCCGCTCCCAATATCCCGCTTGCAGTGCCCCTCCACCAGCACAGTTCACAATGTATCTGTGCATTCTCACTTGCATTATATACTACATATTTCGCTTGCAATGTGCCCTTTCCGATCAAAGCGTGTGCCCTATGCCACCTTTGGGACGCAGTGAAAAATCCTTAAAATATGCCCTGGACGGAAGTTCCGGGGTCACAAAAATTGGTGTGGCGGTGTTGTCGCGGCTGGCGGGCTCCAGCAAGGGGTTTAAGTTTACGACACCACTCTTGTTTCAGGAGAGGTGTCAGCGATTCGAGACTACTTGGGCATGCGGGCAGCGGGGTCGGCGTGGCTGCCTGCGGCTGCGGCCACACATCTTGGCGTCCTGGAGGCGGAGATGCTGATGGTGGCATGAGTCATCACTGGCTGCCCGATTTCCATGCTCCAAGACTCGCCGTGAGGGCCGAGGCGGGCGTCGTGCCGATGGAGAGATGAGGAGGGATGCGCTGGCATCGCGCCTACTGGCGAAGGCGCTCTCCCTCCCGTCGGAGGACCCGCCGCGTCGTGGCGGAAGCCCCCCCCCCCAACCGTGACTGAAGTCAGTGACCGGCTGGAGAGAGCGCGGGGGAGCGGTGTGGGACCACTGGAGTGGCGCTGCCCGCCGAGGCGCGCTTATCCACGAGACTGCCCCCGTAGACGCCAACAGACGGCGTCACGGTCCACCTGGACCTGCTGCCGATCGGGGCGTCCGCGACAGCGAGGAGGAGTGCTGCGGAGGCGTGACTGGGAGCGCTCTCCCAGCGTGCGACGTGGGCCTGGGTCGACGGGTCTGCGACCGGGGGAGTAATAGGAAGGCGGCGCTGGGGTCCTCACCGAGCACCCAGACAGTACAACATTGGTACTGCGGGAGGCGGCGGGGAGGATTTGCTCCATTTACCGATCTGAGATGGTGGCGCCCAAAACGGCAAAGCAACATCTCCTGAAGCACCCGTCCTTCGAGGAAGACCCCATAATCATTTGCTCCGACTCGCAGGCGTCGCTGGCGACGCCACGAGGTGGACAAGTGGCCCAGACACCCCCCCCCCTCATCCCCTAGGTGCCGCCATCTGGGAGTATATGATGGCCCTTGTGGCTGTAGGGGGCCGAAGAATCCACCATAGAAGGAGGGCGGCGATAGCCCGATTAAGCTGGGCGTCCAGTGGAGCCTCGGCTCTATCATGGGCATTGGGCAAGGACTCTGCGAGCACCCCCGTCTCCTCCATCTTCGACGGCACTCCAGTCAGAAAGCTGTCCCCACCCGAGTTTCCCAGCAGCATGGGCCACATGAAACCGAACAGCGCCGAGCCGCTCGACGCTGAGGACCAGGCGAGAGTAACAGTGAAAAGGTGAAACGCTCGAAACGGCGCGCGCCGCCGGCCGAGGGCGCCGAGCCGGCCCAGGCCGGCTGCGGGTCAAACAGAAGCCGTCTCCGCGGCGGCCGCCCAGTGACAGCGACTCGGACTGACGTCGAGGCACCGCTGCCGCCTCCGCCGACCAACCCGCCGCCCAGCAAGGGCAGTTTGAAGGCGGCTGCGCCGGTGAAGGTGGCGCGGCCTGGCAGGGGCCGCGGCCGGCCTACTCCCAGCTACCCGTCCCGCGAGGTGCTCAGTACCACCGACTCGTCCGATTCTGAGGCAGCGCCGTCGGCGGGCCGCCGCCAGCAGTGACGACGACCGGCTGGCGGCGTTCGCGCGGGACTTGTCCGACTCCTGGTACTCGGACTTGCCGCCCAAACTGGACGCCGGCGGCGTGAGCACCAGCAACGCCAATAAAAAGTCCACCTTCATCCGGCTCTTCTCGCACCGTGTCAAAAGGACTACGCCGCGCGGCCGGCCGGCCAACTCGAATGAGCGCAGCGAAGGGCACACGTCCCCGACGGCGGCACTGGCGCCTCCCGCCGCGCCGCTGCCGGCGTTGCTGGCAACGCCGATCCAGGCCCATCGATTTCTACTGTTTTGTTGCCTACGTGCCGCTGCCGCCGCTCAGCCAGCACAATGGCGTGCCGGTGTTGCGCTGTCGGATCGAAAAGCGGCTCGTGCAGCGGACGGACGGGTGCGGCCCGCGCGATGAGCCGCCGCCGCACACCGAGCTGCGCCGCGCGGACGTGAAGGTGGAGCTGGCAGCGGCCTGCTCAGTCCCCTCAACGGCGTCGACCGGCTCTCCGGCGATTTGCGGTCAGAAACGCCGCCGCTTCTGGGACCAAGGTGTCAGAGCGCGGCGCTGCCCGTGAGACGTTAAGTTAGCACAGGCAATGTCGTCTGCACTCCTTGCAGTTCATGTTGAATACACAACCATGTTGCGAAGTAATAGGCGCCGGGTTTTTCAGTTCATAGAACTTTTTCCCTGGCTATTACACCCCACAACCGAACACTGACACCTTGCACAAGTATGACTGTGTGTATGAATGTTAATAAATACATGAACCAATGTTGTGTTTTCGGTTCCAGTACCTTCTTTGGGCACCTCGGCAACAAGTAAGTAATCCGTTAGCTTTGCCACACCTAAGATAGGCTCCCACGTTGTTATTTGCTCCCGGGTTAACATAAACCGGTTTAACGTAACTTTTGCATCCCGGCCAAAATTGCCGGTTAACTGTCCCACCGCTCGAGACTGGCGCTAGGCTGGCCGAGCAAAAAAAAAAGTTTGTCCGCGGCTTCGTCTTATTCGCAGCTGCTGGACACGGGGGAGGGGGGAGGAGGGGCTGCATCGGACGAAAAGCGGGCTCTGGTATTAACTGGATTTTTTGCCAGCTGGCGCCGTATGGTGGCGCTAGCAGAGCTTCTTACATATCAATGCTAGATATAAAAGAATGAATATTTACCAATCAATTTTTCATTTAAAGCCATTTGAAATATTTATGTCCATCCTACTACCGCGCTTAGGTATATCTAAAATTAAATACCTTTCGTGCATCGCCAGCTGGCCAGCCAGCTGACGCAATCCAGCTTTTACCAAAGCCCCGAAAAGCGATGACATGAGCCCTAATATTGGCTTCACCACACAATTTGAACCCTCAAACTGGAATCAGGTGAGCTCGAAAATGGGGATCAGGCTGAAAACTGGTATCATAGTGAGACTAGTTTTAGAGCTTGACACCGATAATGGGTACTGACTGAGCTCTGTTTCTGCGATCAATGATACCGATTTAAGGGATCGTATGAGCCCATGTGGCGCTAGCTCAGAAAGTATTCTCGAAATGTGCTGTCTGTTTTGAATATGGTACATTAGCCCGAAAACTGGTCTCTGAGCCCGAAAATCGGGACACTGTTTTCTCAGTGAATAATGTGATTGGGATAAGGGAATCAGTCATATTATCTCGTCACACCGATTCTTAGTCCCTTTAGAATTCAGAACACTTATTCAGCATGTTTGTAAATAGTACTTACATTCGTTGATTTATTCTGGACGGTGGCGGATGTAGGCCTCTTCTCCCCTCTCTGACAGCCTCTTGGCGGCGCTCTCTCCACTCAGCTCTGCGAATAGTCCAATTTCCGCTCTGCTCTCCACGCCGTTTCCTTTGTCCCCGGTCGGCGCTGGCTAAAACCCCTGTGCGGCGGCGGCGGTCTCCAGTGGCACACCTGGCGTCGTCATGGCAACGGCAGATAGCGGCCAGACAAGTGTTTCTGTTTGTGCTGCCTAATGAGGCGCGCCGGTGGCCGTCGACAAAGGCGCGGCCGGGGGAGAGCGGAGCGGTCGGTCGGCCGGCGCGCCACCCCCGTCTGGCACGTGCCGCGCCGCCGCCGACGGCACGAGAGCGCCGTCGCCGCCGACGGGGCAGATCAATGGTGCGGCGCGGCGGGCACCACGCAGGTCGGCCATCTCCGCCGCTCACCGCCCGCCGCTCGGCCGCTGACTCAGCCGGCACTGGTTTATTTGGCCGCCGTTGCCATGACGACCGGTCACGGCATTATTATTTTAGCGCTCCTCATCTCTGGATTAGTATGTGGCTCATGGTTTATGCACACCCGCCTGAAAGCGGCGCAGATGGTGGCCAGAGCCCGGGCGGAGTGCGGGTGGAGTTTGGGGAGAGCACTGGCGGAGTGCGGGTGGAGTATCAGGAGGTGACAGAGCACGAATAGCTTATAGCTTTGACAGAGTGCTGGCTGAATATGGGGAGAGCATGCGGGCAGAGCACCAGCAGAGCAACAGCAGAACACTGGTAGAACACCAACGGAACACGGGCAGAACATAAGCACTGTATGACAGGATGGACGTGAAGGGTAGTCCGGTTTTATGGCAGAGGGCAGACAAGAGTACCTGCGCGCACATTGTAGGCAGAAGGCAAAATTTAAGTAGAGCAGAGCACGATCTTTTATCATGCTCTGCCTGACGGCAGCGTACGATTTTTCGTCAGAACACGGTCTTATGACTGAACACGGCATTTGATCTAGAGCACGGCCTGACGGCCTGGCATTAGCGGCGGAACACCTTCAGTTAAGGGGGGGGGGGGGCACTGCCGACTTTTGATCCCATTCTTTCCTTGCAACGCCCATAGGGCTAATGTTAAAATGCCAAAATCAAAGGGGGCACGGTGCCCCGGTGCCCTCCCCGTTCCGCCGCCTATGATCTAAAACATGCGTGATATTGAATGCGGTGGAAACTTTTATTTGCAATGCCAGCCATTCGTTTTTGGCAATTTGTGTGTAAAATGTAAGAGGGTTGCCTCTTTTTCTAAGGCGATGGATCGGGGCTCGGGATGTCAGACTCAGAATGGCTCGTGGCGATTGACGCCAGAAGCGAGCAACAACTTTATTCTGCAGAGCGATTTCGTTACTGTTTGAACGCTACGTTCCCCCTGCTGTAAGACGCGGTGCTCTCCGTTTCTGAGAACCGAGCACCGAGCGGCCCTGGATATAGCTCGCTCTGTCGCTCTACATACGGTCATTTTGCGCTAACATCCATACGCCTCCGCGGCGCTGGCCGCCTCCGTCCCATATCCGCCACGATGTTTGCCGTTCATGGGCCAATGATGCGGCTCTATAGCTGGCTCATTACGTGCAGCCCCCAGGGATAATCGGCCAATAGCCGCTCGGAGCCGGAGCCGGGTCACGATGTCAATAGCCCAGAAGTGATCCATGCGCGGTCCCCGGACACCCCGTCGCAGCATTGGCCACGCGAATAACGTGTGCGCCGGCCCAAAGCAATATCACCTTCAGATCCACACGCAAACCTCCAATGGTTACCGAGATACATTGCTGCCCGGCGTGGGGAAACATGGAAAGGGCCATTACGGAATAGCATGGGCACTTATCGATGGGGCCGAAAGTTATAGGTATCTCATTTTCATAAGTGTACAATGTACATATAAGTGTATTACAAGGATATTCTGATGTACATAATTGTTTCTGCATTGCATCTTTTATCTTTTTAACGATATTAATTTATCCGTGATATTTTATTATTTTTCACTAGGTACGAAAGATTCCAAAAGGTAGGAACGAAGCTCGAATTTCTTCTTCGTTTTATATCTAAGTACTTACAGCAGACAGCATGTTCCTAAAGTGCATCATTATCAACTCAAGCGAGATAGTCTTATATCCAGGGTTTGACCTCATTCATGGTTCACTGGTCATTTTTCCGGTACAAACTAACCGCCAGGCGTCCAGGTTACTGCTCTCCAACAAAGTGTGGCGACAGGCGCTCTATCGTGTTGTGCGGTACAGTCTAACTTCAGGCGTTCAGCGTGTTGTGCGGTACAGCCTACCTACAGGCGTTCAGTTGTGTTGTGCGGTACAGTCTACCTACAGGCGCTCAGTTGTGTTGTGCGGTACAGTCTAACTACATGCGTTCAGCGTGTTGTGCGGTACAGTCTAACTAAAGGCGTTCAGCATGTTGTGCGGTACAGTCTAACTTCAGGCTTTTAGCGTGTTGTGAGGTACGGTCTACCTACAGGCGTTGAGCGTGTTGTGCGGTACAGTTTAACTGCAGGCGTTGAGCGTGTTGTGCGGTGCAGTCTAACTGCAGGCGCTGAGCGTGTTGTGCGGTACAATTTAACTTCAGGCGTTTTCTGCGCCACTATTTACAGACTTTCGTATTTTAGTACCGAAACACGTATTTCAGGCTTTCTCGATGCAACTCAAAGCTGTGCCACTAAATGGAAATGTTAGTGAATATCCCCTCCCCCCCCCCCCCCCACCGCGAGTTCCCCAACAAAAACAGCATAGGTGATTTCTTTGTTTTTTTTGTGTTTTTTTTTTTTTGTATATGGAAAATAGACGAAGAATTGCTATTCATTTCTATCACTGTCAAGGGTTTCTCGGACTCAAGACTCAGGAGTAAGCATTTTGCCTTTCTTTTCTTCGTATGTTTGATGTAAATTACTCATAAGATGGAGCATCTTGGATCCAAGAAAATGTACCGAAACTGGACGGCATGTTGCTGTCACGGGTCACTGCTAGCCTGTCTTTTCCTAGTTACACAATTTTGGGTCGTTGCCTGTGTGTCCCTATGGGGGCCGGCGATACGGTGTGCAGCTAAATACAGTCATATATGCGCCATTTGAAATGTGCCGGCTGTTATTCACAGTCGGGTCCAACAAGTGTCAACTGCCGGCGGCGGCCTGCGCCGTATTGCCCAGCGGCCGCGTTGTTTTTGCCGTGCTGGCCGTGCGCGACTCCTCAGGGGGTCCGGTGCCCGCTCCGGTGAACCGTCCGCCGGCCGTCCGTTCCCGGAGGCTCCCCGGGAGGGCGGCCCGCACAGGTAAACAGCGCTGTGACCGGCCCACTTGGCGGCACGATTGCCGCTATCACCAGCAATTTCGTCTGGGCTGATTAAAATGGCCGGTGTGCAATATTCATGCCCGGCGCTGCATCAAGTGTGCACGCCACTGAGGACCGGTCGTAACAACAGCTACGGCACAGTGAGTTTCACTGCGAGTCGATCCGAACAACAGCCGCCAGCTTCACCGCGGGCCATTCTGAACAACAGACGCGACGCGGGGCACGGCACTCGACAGACTGCACGCTGATCTAAAACGGCACTGCCGTGGTAAAAAAAATACGGAGCTGATACACTAAAAACACAGCAAGTTTTAGAATGGCACGCGATAGGTCAAAGATATTTACCTCTATGGATCACGTTATCACGATTTTGGATGTAGCTTTTAACCCGGCCGGGCCCGGGGTGTAATCCCAACCGCCGCAGCCCGGGGAGGGGCGTTTTCACTTATTAAAGTTAGTAATAATAAATAAGATAATTTTGCCATCCGGAAGCTCGAAATGAAGGCTTAAAGGAAAATAGATGCCAGATTTGTGATCAGCGGGAACAAATCCATCATAGGCGACCTTTCATGTGTCAAGGTCAACCAAAGGTCATTCGAGGTCACATGAGGTCAACATAAAACTTGACCTTTTCCAACTAATATATATATATATATATATATATATATATATATATATATGTTACAGGGAGTATGCGATTTCAGTTAGTTTGCAACGACCCTAGGGTGGTTGTAACCAGCCCCCCTTCACGAGCTTCAGAATTCCTTTACCGTGACGTCATCACGGCGCATGAATTTTCCTTCACCCATAGAAATGCATGCAAAGCATGGTGTGTTTCAGGCGGGCTAAGGAGAAATCTAAGGCCTACATGTGTTCAAAAGACATACCACTAAGCCAATGGATTCGTCTCATTACGATAAATGGGGTTGAAATCGAAAAAATCGGCCTATATGTGACTAAAATGGGCCTATCAAATGGTCCTTGCAACTCATAATGAAGGATTTCCTCTGCGTTAAAAAAATTGTTTCTTGTGATTTTTATCAGCTACAGGGGAAATCCTTCATAATTGCTACCAGATTACTACCATATTCCCTCGCATTTCTGTTGCGCATTGCCTCACAAATCAGAGTTTTGTGAAGTTTATATTAATTTAATTGTCATATTTCGACTGATTTTGGCGATTTTCAATTATTTCAACGCAGCATGGATCAGATAGCTCTCATAGTTTGCTGAAGAATGTGGCTTTTGCTTGGTTATTTTCAAGTTATCTGTGATTTGGTGCGCCGTGATCGTAGCATTATACAAATTACCTATATCAACTTTAAAAATTGAATCAACTTTTGAAGTGAAGTTCACATGAAAAATCAAAAGTTCAAGCATAATAATTGTTTAAACATAATGATGCAACATGTGTCTCCCAGATGGAACTTATATTTCAATTAAAAACTGAAAATGGAAAACAGAAGATGGATCTGCGGAGTTACTGAGATCACAAGGTGCTCTTTATTGTTGGTAATTGAAGATGTTGAGAGAACTTGTGAATCTGCATACCAGTCCTGACTTGCTTGATTGTTTAAAACTATTTTAATTCTCATAATTGTGTAATGTGTAGTGACTGTGCACACTGCGCAGCACATGTGCGCAGAAATGTGCAGGTGGCTGGTAGGTGGGTTAAACTTCGGAGATGCGAATTTGGATGTCAGTTATAAAATTAATGGTTATGCCTTGTAGAGTAAGCTCTGCTGTTTTTTTGTAATTGTCTTTTTTATAATTGTAACCTACAATGCTGTTAGTTTCATTTTTATTTAAATGCTCGACCAGAATTTGCACTTGTTCATGCATGAATGGCTAAGTTTGGGGTGTTTATTCAACCCTGACTGCTCAATTTTTTCAAAGGCACATGACACAGCACGGCTAGATCATCTGGTACCTACCTGTTGACTATTTTTGTTTTTGGTGGTGATTTGTTTGCTGTTTGTCTTTTGCAAGGTGGTCAATGAAATAAAATAATGCATTATTTTGGAATGTTTCCTTGACAGAAGCCAGGAGCCGGATTGATGTGTGCTGGTGAATGAGATGGTTCAAAAGCATTATCTGATGTTTTTCAATGT